CAGGGGTGCTGTGACAGGGGTGCTGTGGAGGTGGCAGGGGTGCTGTGGAGGTGGCAGGGGTGCTGTGACAGGGGTGCTGTGGAGGTGGCAGGGGTGCTGTGACAGAGGTGCTGTGGAGGTTGGGCTCTGCTCGCCTACGTGTATTTCTGCAGGCTGTGGCTGTTCCCCTTCCTGCCTTCCCCACAGCAGCGGAACCTGACTCCAGTGCTGAGGTTTGCTCGGTGATGTGAGCACCACTTGGCCAGACCTCAGCCCTGAGCAGGGGCTTTCCACCCCTGTTCTTCAGGCCCAGCCTCTCTCAGAGCCTGCTTGCCAAAACCCTCCACTCTGGTGCTCTCCAGGGGTGGGTTTCAGCGAGGCTGTGCTTTGGTGTGACAGCCACCCCTTTCTGCAGGACGTGGCTCAGAGGGGTCCCTGGTGAGGGGCAAATGGAGCCCCACATCAGCACCGTGGGAAGTGGAGCCCCAGTCCTCTCCCTCCCCCGTTGTCCCTCCCCTTTGTCCTGCCTGGGCTCCTGAATAATGGAAGGGCTGTAACGGATCCGGCCTGGCTCTCTGCTGCCCCAGGGGACAGGCTTGGCCTCCCCTCCTGGTCAGGGATCTGGTGTCCAACAGGAGCTGAGCCAGGTGAGCTGAGGGCTGGGTGCCTGGGGGAGGTGGCTGGGCCCTGCCCTGGGTCCCCTCGTGCCTGTCCCACCCCAGTGTTCTGCTCCAGCCCCAACTGGGGGAACTGGGGGAACTGGTCCTCCCTAGCCCCCTGAGCTGGGCCGTGCACAGCCTCCACAGCCACAGCCTCTGCACCTGGGGCTTCTCTTTCATTCTCCAGCTTGTTCCAAAAACGAGCAAAAATGTGCCTTTTAGCCTCATTTCAGCCCCCTCCCTGTTCCCCCAGGGCAAATATTTCAGCGAGCAGAGCTTGTTTGGGTTTTGGGCCAGTGGGAGGTTTGGGAGTGGCTCTGGGTGCTGGGCCCTGTTGTGCCCAGGTGCTGGGGTTGTGCCCCTCACAGGAGAGATGGGTGGAAGAGCCCTTTTCTAGCACCCCAAACACCATTTGGGGTTTGTCCCATAGCACAGGGGGTGACTGGCTCAGACTGGGCTTGTGGGACCTTTTGGAGGGCAAGAGGACCCAGGAGCACCCTGCCTGGGCACTGGGGGCTGTGTCCTGGCTGGGCATTCCTCTGCTGCTCCAGGCAGGATGGGTGTGCCCAGAGAGGGTCAAATCCTGCCCTAGCACTGCACCCTGAGGTGGCACATGGGGACCAAAGGGGGGTTTAGTGGCTCTGCTGCAGAGCTGGGTGTTCCCCATGTTCCTATGGCAGGGGCCTGTGGCACCCACAAGCGTTGGGGCCCCCAGGGCTGTTTTGGGGCCCCCAGGGCTGTTTTGGGGACCCAGGGCTGTGTCAGGGACTCAGGGCCGTGCTGGCCCCACCACCCTCCCCTTCCTTCCCACAAGGACAGGAAGGACCCAGCCCTGTTGTTTCCTGCAGGGATGGGGGTCATGGGACACCTGTGGTGACAAAAGCCCTCCCCCTCCCGCGGCTGCTGCCCTTGTGACACCTCCCAGGAGCCACCGAGTCCCACGGCGCTTCCTCCCCAGGGCACTGAACATAAACTTCTGCTGGGGGCACCAAACCGGCTCCCTGGGCCCTCCTGGCATCTCCCGGCCCCTGCCCTGGTGGGAATTCCGGGCTGCCCTTGCTCCAGGGCGGGGGGGGGGGGCCCCCCCCGGTTCCCCCCCGTGGGGACAGAGCCGCTGGCATCCCACGATGGGAGTGTAAGGATTTAAAAACCAACCCGGTGGGAAGCAGATCCGGGAGCCTGCGGATGTTCCTCCCTCTCCTTCCCGGTGCCATCACCCGCTTCCTGCCCTGCAACCTCTGTCCTGGCAGACGAGCCCCAGGCACCGTTCCCGTGTGAGGATCCGGGACTGGAAGTCACCACGGGGGATCTGTAGAAGACGGAGCCTTGGAAGAGACGTGGGGCCTCCCTGGATGTAGGAGAGGTCCAGGACAGCAAGGAGAGCAGGGAGGTGGGATCCAGGTCTCTGTGGGAATAAAGGGGGAGGGTAGGACTGGGGGGAGGGAAGGGTCTTCCTCTGGGTTTGGGTGCTGTGGGTGAGTGGCTGTGTTGGAAGAAGCTGGGCTGGTTCTGACCTGGGGACAAGTGATGCCATCGGGCTCCAGAGCCGTGTTCCTGCTGTGGATCCAGAGGAGGGAAACAGTGAGAGACAAAGCTTGGAGTGGAGAAGCTGGGAACAAACTGGGCCATGGAAGGGCCCACACCTTGGCTCCTGGGGGTTACAAGGGGTTCAGTCCCAGCCCAGCCGTGATGCCCAGTGCTCCAGGGGGACCTGGGCTGCGTGGGGAAGCTGTGGTGTCCCTGGGGTGTGTAGGAAAGCCGTGGCGTCCCTGGGCTGGGTGGGGAAGCCGTGGTGTCCCTGGGCTGCATCCTGGCTGGGATCCAGGCAGCCAGCTCTGCCCTGGGGTGCCAGGGGTTCAGTTCTGACTCAGCAGCCTCTGAGGTTTTTGCCACCTCATCCCAGGAACTGGAACACAAACGGGCAGAGAGCCGTGCCAGCTCCGTGTGCAGGGCCCTGCTCGATGTACGTCGTGCTTTCCCCTCAGTGCCACCAAAGTGGCAGGTTGGAGCTGGAGTTTGGGATGCTGAGGCTTGGCAAGAGCCCTCGAGGGGGTTGATGCTGCCAGCGGAGATGGGGGTGGTGGGATACAGCCGGTGCCATGGTGGGATGCCCGTCCTGACGCTGCTGCCATTTCCTGGGGTCCCCCCCGGGGTCCCCCCCGGCCCGGCCGGTTCCCGAGGCTCCTGGGGCAGAGGCTCCAGCTGACGCTCCTCCTCTGCGGGAGGCAGGCGAGGGCTCGGGGTGGGGCTTTGCCGAGCGAGGATCCAGAGTCTGGCCAGCCCGGGGAAGTTGCCAGGGCCGAGCACTCCCGAGCCGGCGAGGCCGCCGCCCTTCCGTGAGTCTCTGCCGCTCGGGGGCACGTCCGGAGCGCTCCTAGGCAGGAGCCCGCTCTGGGGGCACAGGAAGGGCTGCCGGGGGCGTGAGGGCAGGGCGGTTGGCTTGGGGTCCTTGTGCTGTCAGAGGGGAACCAGGTGACCCCTCACCTGTGCTGGGGGGCTGTGGGACACCTGTGCTGACCAAAGGCTTTGGCTCCCGGAGTCGTGTGCTACCGACACACGGCATTTCCCCTCCTTCCTCCCCGTGGGACCACCCTTGGAGCAGAGACACCCCACAGCCTGTGGGGCTGGACCCCGGGCTGGCTCCCAGGAACCCCAAATGGCAATTTGCCCATCGGGGACATTGTACTGCCCCAATTTGCCATGTCCCCCCACGCCACTCAACTTCTGGCTGTGGGTTCCCCCTGTCCCTCTCCATCCCGGGGACCCTCCCAGGGGGATGGGGAGAGGCACTGACCTGTGCCGCAGGAGACCTGGCGTTCATCCCTCTGGCTGATGCAGCCTTTATCCTTTTTGCTTTCTCTGTGCCTCAGTTTCCCCCGGCATGGAAAGGCACTGCTGGCAGAGGGACAGGGAGCCCTGGCTGTTCTCCTCCCTGTGCAACCAGCCCTGCTCTCCCAGTGCCAGCGGAAGCAGCTGGAGCCGCCTGCCCACGGGATCATCCGGCCCTTCCTCACAGCCTCGTGTGCCCTCAGTCCCTTCCCCTCTCCCTGGACCGACTCACGGCTGCTCCGGCACACGGCCCGTTTGGCTCCGGAGTCTCCCGGCAGAGCGGAGGAGTTTGGCTCCAGGCAAGCGGCTCTCAGCAGCCAGCTCTTCCTGGCCAGTGTCCCCACAGCGGGGTAGCTTCTAGGGATGTCCCCAGTGGGGTGCTGAGCTGTGGGGAAGGTGCCTGAGGTGCTGGGACAGGAGCAGGGACAGGGATGCTCCCTGGAGTCCCCCCAGCCCAGTAGGTGTGTCCTAACTGTCTCATCCAGGCGGGCTGCTTTGTGTCTCCATGGGGGCAAAAATCCAAAGCCCAATTAGGGGGCTAATTATGGGGCAGGGCTCATTACCTTTTGCTCTGTTAAACCTGCCCTGCTGGAGCTGCCTGTGACCCCTGTTCCCCATGGGCTCCCTTGGAGGGAGCTGCTGCCTGGGGGAGCTGGAGGTGTTTTCCATCCAGGATGGGCTGTTGGCAGCCAGACACTCCCCAGCAGCCAGAAGAACCTTTGGCCACCCAGAGTAACTGAGCACCCAGCCTGTGCTGCCCACCAAGCCTTGCCCTTCCCAGCTCAGATCCCAGGGGTCCAGGCTTGGAAATCTATGTCCAGCATGGCTGCAGGGAGTGATGTCCCCACAGCTCAGCTGGGTCCTTAAGGCTGCTCCCCCATAAACTGGTGAGCTCCCCATGGCCCAGAGCTGGGGGGGAAGGAGAGGCTTTGCTCCCCTGCTCTCTGGACAGAGATTTTTAAGCAGCTCCAGGAGCTCGTTTTTCCTCCGAGTGCTCCCAAAAGCTCGCCCACGGCCAGGTTCCAGCCCAGGGGAGGAGGCTCCTCTGCTCTCCCGGCCGGGATGGGCTGTGCTGCTCACTGGGGGAGCGGCTCCCCGGCTCCAAGGGTTTGTCTCCATGTTCCCAGGCGGATGAGGGCAGTGGCACAAGGACAGGCTGCCCGTGGCATCGGGGGCACCTGCTTGGCACCAGCCTGGCGAGGTGCTGACAACCCCCCAAAGGACTCCTGGGCAGGAAAACTGGGGGGGTTCTCCTTAAAATAAGCCCAGCACATGCTGGGGCAGTGCCACAGAGGTGCTGCGTTTCCACCTGGGGCCTGTGGGTGGGCTGGGAGCATCTCAGTGGATGGAGGGAGGTGTTTAGGGAGAAGTCCTGGGAAGCCCGGCCTTGGTTTGGGAAGGTTTAGGAGGGTTTTTCCTCCATGTTTGCACTCAAAGATGCTTTTGACCAAGACAAACTGAGGTTCTGTGAGCGGTTTGGATGGGGCTGAGCATGTCTGTCCTGCCAGGATGGGCACTGGGTTGGTCTCCAGCTTCTCCTGTTCCAGGGCAGCCCCAGTCATATTTAAACTGGAAAATTGCCAGGCAAATACAGGAGTCTTTTAGGCTCCTGCCACGCCTCTGCCACAGGGTAAAATATCTCAAGGGCACCATGACTTCCTCGAAGGTGACACTGTGCCCTCAGGGATACCTTGTTCTTCCAAGCAGGGGATGTGGCTGGGACGGGACCTGCCTGGAGGCAGGAGGGGAGCAGGGCGGGCAGGAGGGGCTGGGGGAGCTGCTTCACCCTCGTGGTGCTGGAAGAGCAGCCCGGGTTCATTTGGGACCCGAGTGTTTCCCAGGGCACGGTGCCAGGTCCCGAGGTGTCGGTGGCTGCTCCACGGGTGTCCCCGTGACCCAAAAGCCCTCCCCAGGGCACGTGGCACCTGCATTTCTTCTGCCTCCAGCTCTGGGGGTGCTCAGGGGGTGTCTGAGGGCAGCCTGGGGGTTGTGGGGCTGGGCTGGAGGCAGATTTTGTACCTGGCTGATTGTTTTCCTGGCTGAGTTGGGGTGTCCTGCCCCACCTGCCCAAAGGGGATCGTGCACAAGTGCCCCCTGATGCCCCGTGGCTACCCTGGGTGTGCACCCCTGGGTACTCTGGCCAGAGGGCTCAGTCTCAGGGGTTCATCCAGGTGCTGCCCCAGGGTCCCATCCAGGGGATGGGGGTTTTCCTTGGCTATTCCCTGACATGCCCCTTCCTCCACAGCCCTCAGCAGCGCCAGCCCGGTGCGATGCGATGCTCCCTGAAGCGCTGCCTCACCGCCGTGCTCGCAGCCTCCTTCCTCCTCCTCCTCCTCCTCCTCCATGGGGGCAGCCAGCAGGAACAGGATCCCCTGGAGGTGAGTTCCCAACCACTGATGTCCCTCTGGAGTGGCCACTGGAGCATCCTCCATCCTTTCCTGCCCCACATGGACCCCAACCCCAGCTCTGCTCCCTTCCCTGCACTGTGTCACCCCCAACCCCAGCTCTGCCTTCTCCTCTCCCTGGAGTTGCCCTGGGCAGTGAGGCCTCCCTGGATCCAGGAGCTTGGAGGGCAGGACAGGGGTTCCCCGTCACTTCTGGGAGCCCTGCTGTCATTCCCCCTTGCTCCCGTGTGTCCGTGGTGCTCCAGGCTCTGACCTGGCTCCCTGTGGCTCCCACCCAGGTGGATCTGAGGGGCCTGAGCCCTGACACGATCCTGCAGCTGCTGCGGCCAGGAGGAGCCCAGCACATCCTCAGGGACATGGACGAGCTCTCCCCACTCCACAACATCTCCTACCATGTCCTGGCTGGTTCCCTGGCACCCCAAAAAAGTGAGTAGTTGGGAGCCCAGCCCGAACAGGGCTCTGGGTCTGCACATCTGTCCCAGCACAGCTGTCCCAGCACAGACCCATCGCTGCTGCTGCCAGGGCAGGGAGGGGCCATGTCCACCCTGTCGGGGTGGGAGATCTGCCAACACCCCAGAGGGGCTCTGGGGACCTACCAACACTGCTCTGGGGGCTGCAGGCGTGGGGGAAGCTCCATATGCTCCAAGTGTGGTCCATGTTTCTACACCTTGGCACTGGGGTGACCGCAGGCGTTTTGGGTTTCCCAGACCTCTGTGGGAAGGGTGGCTGGGATCCCACCTCCCTGGGGTTGAGGTTCTTGTGGAAGTGGTGGAGCTGGACCATGGGGACACCCACACAGGGTGGGAGGTGTGGGCCAGGCTCTTGGGCAGGGGCACTGAAAGCAGCTCCCACACAAACCCCAGGGGAAGGAGCTCAGGGCAGCCCCACGTGAGGCTGTGCTGGAACCAGCCCGTGGATGGTGCTGCACGGAGCAGCAGCAGGAGAGGCTGAACCCCTGCTGGGCCGTGGGGAGGGCAGGACTGATGTCTCATCCAGTGTGGGGCATCTCCACGAGGTTCAGGGCAGGGCACACTTCCAAGCCAACGAGCCATTCCTGCCCTGTAGACTCTGTGCTGTTACTTCTCTGGGTTTGGCTTTTTAAAGGTGTTTTTCCCAAGTATTTCTCCTTCAGAGGAGCTCCTGCTGCCTCATCCCGTCCTCTCCCTGACCTTTGGGCCCCTTCTGGGACACTGGGGGGGTTTCAGCTCAGAGAGGACCCTCCACCTTGGACACGGGGTTATAAACAGCATTAACGGTGCGGGGTGGCCACGGGAAGAGCTTTTTGGAGCCCCCTCCTCGTGGCCTGTGGGGAAGAACCTCCCCACGGTGCATCGCAGGTTACACCTTTCCTTTGCCGTGCAGAATTCCTGGCGGTGGGATTGGCATCGGTGCGGCGGCCGCGTGGCTTCTACCTGCCGGCCACGCTGCAGTCCCTGTTCAGCCAGTCCACGGAGGAGGAGCTGCGGGAGATGGTGGTGGTGGTGCACCTGGCCGATGCGGATCCCGGCTGGAACGCGCGCGTCGCCCTCAGCATCGCCCAGAAGTTCGCTCGCCACATCCTCCTGGGCCGGCTGCTGCTCATCCACGCCCCCCACGAGCTCTACCCCACCCTGGAAGGGCTCAAGAGGAACTTCAACGACCCCGAGGAGCGGGTGAGGTTCCGCTCCAAGCAGAACGTGGACTACGCCTTCCTGCTCGCCTTCGCCGCCAACCTCTCCTCCTACTACCTGATGATCGAGGACGACGTGTGGTGCGCCCGCTCCTTCCTGACGGCCATCCGCAAGGCTCTGGCCTCCCAGGAGGGCTCCAACTGGGCCACCCTGGAGTTCTCCAAGCTAGGCTACATCGGGAAGCTCTACCGCTCCAGCGACCTCCCTCGCCTGGCTCACTTCCTCCTCCTCTTCTACCAGGAGATGCCCTGTGACTGGCTGCTCGTGCACTTCCGCCACCTGCTCACCCAGAAGGACGTCATCCGCTTCAAGCCGTCCCTCTTCCAGCACATGGGCCTCTACTCCTCCTTCCAGGGCACCGTCAACCGGCTGGAGGACGACGATTTCCAGGCCGATGCCTTGGACGTTCCGGACAACCCTCCGGCGTCCTTGTACACCAGCATGGCCGTCTTCGAGCACTACGAGCCCCTCAAGGCCTACAGCTCGGCAGAGGGCTATTTCTGGGGGAAGGACCCAGCAGCCGGCAGCATCTTCTCCGTGGTGTTCCGGCAGCCGGCCCTCGTCAGCCGCGTGCGGGTGCTGACGGGCTCCCAGGAGCGCCGCAGTGACTTCCTGCGCGCGGGGGTGCTGGAGCTGGGCCGGCGCCGCGACGGCCGCGACTGCTCCACCTACATCCCGGTGGGAACCTTCGAGAAGGGCACCGTGGACCGGCGGGGGCTGGAGAGGGGCGTCCTCGGCCCCGTGGAGTGCGTGAGGATCCGGGTAACCCGGGCCCAGAGCGAGTGGCTCATCATCCAGAGCATTGACATCTGGACCGCGGCGGGCACCTGAGCACGGCTGTCAGGGCACAGATGGGTTTTGTTCCGAGAGGTCCTTTATTTTTCTCATTCCCGTTTTTTGATAAGGAATTAAATTATTGACTCCTGCTGGCATCTGCCAAGGGATGGGAAGCACTGCTGTGGGATGTGGACGGGGCCAGGAGCAGGGCCCACCAGGATGTGCCCACTCGGGGGATGCCCCAGTGAGCAAAGGAGCGGGTACAGGGAGGGGAAGAGGCTGGCCAGTAGAAAACGTTTCCTCCCAGGGAGGATGATGTACAGGACGAAGCTGATCAATTAATTAACAAATGAAGTTATTAATCAGGTATTGGCAGTTTTTGCAGTGTCTCCACATTGTCCCTTTCCTAAGTTTTCTAACTCACCCAAACTGATTGCTAACTGAATTCTTTTCCTCCCCTCCTACCCCATTTCTGAGCTGTTCCTGGGAGGGGTCGGGGGAAGGTCTGGGGCTGGTGTTCCCCAACCCCCCTGACTGGTGACCAGCCAGGTCCCGGTGCTGACCCAGGTGGGCGGTGGCCACCAGATGGACCCATCGTGCCGGCTCAGCTCTCACCGGCTGCTTGTTCCCCCCTCGAGGGAGGAAACAAATCAGTTCCCAGGGACCACACCCTGTGTCCATGCAGGATTCCCACCTGGAGGAAAGAACAGGCAAGATGGGGTTTCTACAAGGGGGAGAAAGGTCTAGAACTGAGCTCCAGGGAACAAGGACGGGTCAAGGAAAATGTGACCTCAGGATAACGTGGAGCTCAGGGTCCTTTTCAGCCCAGTGAGGGGCTGGAGGGGAACTGGGGAACACACAGGCCCCCAGAAGCTTCTGTTTGGGTTTGTCTGGCAGGGTCATAATCATGGTCCCAGACTGGACTGGATGATCTCAGAGGGTCTTTTCCAACCCAGGGACACACCTGCAGTGCCCAAACACCCGAGTGCCATAACCACAGCTCTGGCTCAAGTGGCATCAACTCACCTGCTGGGCACTGGAAGGCACTGGAGAGCCCCAGACCTGGCATGAGGGGACTTTTTCCCCAGAAAAAAGCCACCCAGGTAGTGGATCTTTGCATTTAATAGAGAGATGCTACACGATGAACTCCAGCACCTCCTGACGTTCCAAATGTTCTCAGTGTGCACATCACAGAATCACTTTGGTTTCCTCCACACAAGCCCAAGTCTGGCCAGAGCTCTCAGAGTGCTTTGAGTAGCACAAGTGTCCCCTCCCCAGGGCCCCAAGGCCCAGACAAGTGTTTCCAGTGCTCCAGGAGAGCCTTTGCCCTGGTTCTCTTGGACACAAATGCTCTGCCCTCACTGGGAGAGCACCAAGGGTCACCAGCATGGGTACAAACAGAAAGGTTTCTCCCCAGGAGGTTTTTACCCACTGCTAAAGAATGAAAAGATATAAATGTAAATCAGCTGTTTTTACCTGCTGGACTCTTCCTGGTGCAGGTACTAATTGGGTTGGTGATGTTCACCTGCACAGAAACAAGCTGCAGCCTCGGCTGTGCTGGGTGTGGAATCTCTCCATGTACACCAGGATAAGTGGAAGCAGCAGCTGGCAGGAACCCCCTCCTCTTCCTTCCAGTGCTGCACACGTGCACCACAATGCCCAGTTAACATCAGTGCACGCCGGAGGAAGAGGAGGAGGAAGTGGCTGCTTCATCCTGGAAGAGCATCACACAATTTATCCCACATCAAAATTACCCCACTGTTTTTATCCGTGGAAGACTCAGCCAGCTCCCAGCGCTCCGTGCTGAGGTCCCTGTCTGATCTGGGGGGGGCTGATGGAGCCCCAGGAGTCTGGGGCTTCCACACACAGCCAGGCAGGGGAAGGAGCCTCTGGGCTCTGAGAGGGGAAGGGCAGGGGGCAGAACCAGGGGAGGCATTTGGGGCTGATGGAGACGGTGAATCAGGGAAGGGTTCGAGCTTTCGGTCCAACCCCGCGTGTCCTGACGGTGATCCCTGTGCGGCTGCTCCAGGAGCTGCCCCGTGTCCTGGGAAGCGCTGCCGAGGGCCCACAGGGATCTAACTCAGCATCTTGTGCCGGTCAAACACCGTCTTCCTCTGCTCCTGCACCTGCCTCTTCCAGCGCTGCTGGGCCCCCTCCACGCGCTCCAGCACCGTGTTGGCTCTGGCTCCGGCCGGGGTGGGCACTGCGGCCAAGGAGCGAGTGTCCTGCAAGGGAAGGGAGCAGTGGGGAATCTGGGAGTGCCCAGCCCGGGAGAAACCACAACTGACTCCGGGAGAAACCACAACTGAAGGAGCCACTCAAGGCTTGAGTTGTCCTGAGGAAGAACCACCTTTCCAGAGCTCCTCAACACCAGTTCCCCAACTCCTCTCTTGTGGGGACCACCCAAATAAAAGCCCCCAGGACAGGAACTGCACCAAGTCTAAAGCTCTGCTAGAAACCCACTGCTTGGAGTCTGCAGGAGCCACAGTGAACCACAGCACCCCCTGAAACAGAGCCAGAGACTGCTGCTGTGGATGGGCATCCGTCGTGGCACACGAGCACCAAGGCCTGTCCCAGCACCCAGCACTAAGATAAACCTCACCTAACACCAGGCATTTAC